GTAGTAAAGTCATTGAGGTCGATAAATTGGAAAAAATGCAATCCCAGTTGGTAGAGACTTTATGTTTGCTTGAAAAACATTTCCCTCCTTCTTTCTTTGATATAATGGTCCATCTATCAATTCATCTTGTGAGAGAAGTCGAGCTTTGTGGGCCAGTTTGGCTACGTTGGATGTATCCTATCAAAAGAGAAATGAAGACATTCAAGGGATATGTACGCAATCGTGCTTATCCTGAAGGTTCAATTGCCGAAGCGTATATTGCAGAGGAGGCAATTGAGTGTTTAGTGAGTTCTGAAGATTGTACAGTAGGATTGCCAAAACGTTTCCAGGGTGCACAATCTAGACCCCTGTCTGGTGCGACGATGATCACACCGACCAATAATGACTTGCACCTAGCACATATGTGTTTCCTCAAAAACTGTGATGATGTCCAACCATACTTTATGTAAGTATTTTTTATAATTTTTGACAGTTACTTCACTTTCATTCTTCTTTATAATATTATTAAAAAATAAAATTGTTTCAGTGAACATATGGAGGCCTCGTTACTTCCTCACCATTTTTGATAATTCTCCAAAGGAGAAAGTTGGTGGATTGGATGTAAATCCTCATCCGCTCCTTCCAATAGGTGTAGTTTGTTCCATCAAACAATGGAGGCCTCGTGGTGGATTGCCCTTCACCTAGACCTGCGTATGAACTTTTAGTAGAAGCCATTGATCGTTTCTCTCAAACGGTTAAGTCTTTCAGAGAGTATTGCTCCGATACCAATTGTTAGAATAAAGGCCCAACGCTAGATGGGGGGGGTGAATAGCGTTTGAAACAAAATCGCAGGAAATTAAAAACGAGAGCGTTAAAGTAAAGAGCGTAAGGAAGTAGCACACCGAATTTTATCCTGGTTCACCACAACGCGTGGCTAATCCAGCCCCCCGAGAGACTCTCTCGAGCTACACTAACTCCGTTAAGCTTAAGGGTGCTTAACAAACCGATACAACTTGAGAACCCGAGTCACACGAGCCTCAACACCTTTGCTCGGAGATACCGCACTCCAAGACTTCTCACGAAGGAACAAGAAACTTCCTTCGAGTTTACAACAATGGAACAACCTCCCTTAAAGTGTATGAAAACACTTAAACACTCAGGAATAAAACTCTCGCAAAGAGTAGATATGAGTAAACTAGTAAACGCTCAAGAACACGACAATTTCTTCAAGAATTGGCTCTCAAATAGCTAAGAAAAAATAGGAATGCTTATGCAATGAAAGAGTATTGAAATGTTGAAGAATTGTGTCTGAAATGAGAGGATTTGGGTGCCATTTTATAGCCCAAAAAGGGATAAACCCGTTGCTAGAATTTCCAACAGGATGAAGACAAATTTTTCAGGGACACAGGCTGATAGTCGATTGTCAAACCATGATAATCGATTATCCAAAGATTCCCTGTCCAAAAATTTAAAATTCTATCCGTTGGAGGACAACGGTAACCCAGATAATCGATTGTCAACAAGTGATAATCGATTATTGGTCCTCTCTGAAGATTCTGGGTTTTAACTGCAAAGGCTGA